TATATATATGGATGTATTTAACTATTGGAATATTATGCAGCTGTTGCCTTCAATGGTATGAGTGACACGTTCAGATTGTACGGGTTCTGGGCTATGTTGCAAGTACCGTATAAGTTGGCTGGTTTGGCGATAGTGTGATACGCCCAAGACAGCAGCATCTCGAGATGAGCGTCGCTTTGACTGGTGCTTTGTTAGGAGCCCCTGTGACCCAATCTCGCACACAACCAGTACTAGTTTATGTACTTTTTCCGTGCGGTTAATTAAGGCACCACCATGTAGATCGTGTTTAACAACTGGCGATTCCACACATGGATAAAGTCAAACATAGGGACAGATATGGGTCATATAAATTTAACTCGGAGAACAAAATAGTTAAAAACATAATTTCAATTGCAATGATATTCATGTGCGTGTTTCTGTTTTATTGCTTCTTACCCCCGCTCGATTTCGAACAGAGCAGTTTATACACAGACTCGGAAAACCCTGGTTTTAATCGTTCAGCCTCGCGGAAGGCATCGGACAGGGTTTTGATTGCACTGACGGCTTGGGGTGATGCTCCATTCTGTGCGCGTAGCTGTGCGAATAACCGTTAGTTAGAGGGATGGTACGAGCGACCGTGCCATAAAATTTATAACAAATGGCCTATATAACGCACGGTGTTCATATACAAGAAAAAAGTTAGAACTTCTGACAGCGGTCGTGTAGGCAAATAGTGAAGTAAGGTCTGCATTTATAACCGAGTACCTGCAACCCCGCCTTTCAATTTTTGTAGGCCGACGACTGTCATTCGCGATCGAAGAAGTATCCCATACTCTGGCTGTGCCATATAAACCATCACAAACCACACACCTCAACGATACATACCAAACGATACATACCAAACGAGTAAACGTGACTATGAGCCATATCAGGACTTACTGTGCGAAACCTTGGCAATACACCAGCTACGAAAACTGGCGCAAAAGTTGTCAGCGATAAGCGACAGTGGTAGAGGAAGCCATCCTACCTGAGCACTCCAATATGTATGGTCTACCGCGCACACACCTACCATTTAATGCTAGGTACGAAACGCGTTAAACACCTTTTGTTTGCCCACACACTTCCACCATTTATTGGCATGTAGGGAACGCGTTAAACATCTATTGTTTGTCTATACGATCCACCTACCTGCTCAAACACAGCCACCAATTCTTTTGAAGGTTCTGCACCCTCCGTTGGTGAGTCAGTTTTCGTCTTCACTGCCATGTCCAGACCGAGAATGGATTTACGCCTTGGAGCGGGCCGGACATCCACTGTGCGAGCGTATTGGGGTTAGGGAGTGAGGGGGGGGTGAGGGGTTCCTTCTGGGTAGCATTGATTCATTCATTTATGTATGTGCAGCGATCTATTTATACGCTAAAAGTCGGTAGCTCATCGGTGGTATCTATGGCAGAGACATACGCATGACACTCATAGACGTGTAATGTACTAGATTATCTGCTGGACCTACGTGTACTTGTGTAGTATGTCTATCACATCAGAATCTACCCCTAGACGATTCTTATTAGAAGCCAAAAACAAATAATATGGAGAATTCGAACCGTTACTGTATAACAGAAAAAATATTGCATCTCAATTCGATATGAACACACAAATGGATATAGAAGAATGTGGTCAAACGAAAAAAATATATACCTCTCACGTTGGGATGCGTGCAATTTACATGTTCATGCTGATCGTAAGATTGGTTCAGTCTTTGCATACATATCATGAGTACGGGTCCATAAGGAAAACGCATAACTCTTTGAGTCATAAAAATGTGCTTAGAAACAGTAAATGGCCTAACATATGCAAATAATTACACACGCATATACAACATGAACCGAGAC